AGTGAGGAACTATCTGGGTTTGAATCTTACTGCTGTTAATTTTTAAAATTGTTTTGATTAATAAAAACTATGCTCTTATGACTATTTGATGAATGTTCATCCTATAAAAAATAAAATTCACTGGATGCAAGCCCTAATGAGAGGGATATCTATGCCTCCGACACCTATTGAACACATGATCCTGGGTAAGTCATTCTACCATCTGAGTCTTGGATGCTCTGTAAGTGGGGATAATATATCAGTAATTCCTTCTTCCCCAGGCTGTTCATAAGGATCATGAGAATCAATGTATGTAAAGGACTTTGTAAACCTTAAAGCTCTTTCTATGGATGTCAGTTATTATTATGTTAAGCCTGAAGTTAGAAAAGTTTGGGGGAGGGGAGAGACATATGATACCTGCCTTCAAGTTTATAAAGGGCTAACAAGTAAAGGGGAGCAGTTAGGTGGCCCAGTGGATAGAACACTGGGCTTGGAGTCAGGAAGTCTCATCTTTCTGAGTTCAATTCTAGCCTCAGACACTAGCTGTGTGACTCTGGGCAAGTCACTTAACCCTATTTGCCTCAGTTTCCTCATCTCCAGTATCTTTGCCAAGAAAGCCTCAAATGCAGTCACGGAGAGCACACAACTGAAAATTACTGAACCAGGGCAGCTAGGTGGCAAAGTGGATAGAGCACCAGCCCTGGAGTCAGGAGGACCTGAGTTCAAATCTGGTCTCACACCAGATATTTGACACTTACTAGCTGTGTGACCCTGGGCAAGTCACTTAACCCCAATTGCCTCACTAAAAAAAAAAAGAAAAATGACTGAACAACATCAAATGAAGGAGGGATAAGATTGATTTTTCTTGGTCCTACAGAACAGAGCTAGGAATAATGGGTGGAAATTTCACAGATGCAAACTTGGGCTAGAAGTAATGGGAGATTAAAAAAAAGTTCTAACAAAGATGTATAAAAGGGGGAAGGGAGAGGAGGGAACAAGCATTTATTAAGCACTTACTGTGTGTCAGGCACTGTGCTTTATAAATACTAATTCAGAAGTGAAATAGGCCATCTCCAGGAGAGATAGTAAATTCCCCATCACTAGAGGTCTAAAAGTAGAGGCTGGATATGACCATTGATGGGGATATTTTGCAGGGGTTGCCTATTGAAGGAGAGGCTGGGTCAAATGGCATCTGTTAGTTGTTACTGTTGTTGTTCAGTCACATCTGACTCTTCATGACCCCGTTTGGGATTTTCTTGGCAAAGATGCAAGAATGGTTTACCATTTCCTTCTCCAGCTTATTTTACAGGTGAGGAAACTGAGGCAAACAGGATAAAGTGACTTACCCGAGGTCACACAGTGTCTGAGACTGGATTTGATCTCAGGAAAATGAGTCTTCCTGATCCCAGGCTCCATCTACTCTGCCACCTGGCTGCCCAAATGGCATCTGTAGTCTCTTCCAAATCTGAGATTCTCTGACAATAACTCCAGTGCTCTCTCCCCTCTACAACATTGCCTCTCATCAGAACAATTCACATTTCTACAGGTCTCTAAGGTTGACCCATCACAAGCCTGTGAGCTAGGTAGGGCAGGCATTATCAGCCCTGAGATTTAGGTTAAGTGACCTCCCTATGGCTACACTGAGATTCAATTTTGTGTCTCTGGATTGTATGTCCAATCCTCTTTCCATGAGACTCTGCCATATTGCTTCATATACTGTGGTTACTTTTGTTTGTGTCTTATTCTCCTACCTGTCTAGAGGCTCTAGGAGAGAAGGGACTTTGTATCCCTCCCAGTGCCTAGAAGGATTCTATCCACCTTTGTTCAGTAATGTCCAATTCTTTGTGACCCTGTGGACCTTACTGTCCATGGGATTGTCTTTAGAGTGCTTGCCATTTCCTTCTCCAGTAGATTAAGACAAACAGAGGTTAAATGACTTGCTCAGGGTCACACAGCTAGTAAATGTCTGAGGTCAAATTTGAACCCAGGTCTTCCTAACTGCAGGCTCAGCGTTTTCTATCCACTGAGCTACTTAGCTGCACCGTCAATGCTTAATGTATGTTTATTGAATTGGGTCTCAGAAGTATCCTTACCTTCCCCCTCCACTGCCAAGCTCTCCCCATTTAGCATACAGATCTCTAGAAATAGGCAGGATCAAGGCTCATCCTCTGTACCCCACCCCCAAAGAAAAGAGAGATTTTTTGTTTCAGAGGTGGAGGACTACAGATATGGAATGTTGCATACACTATCAGTTAATCAATGTATTGCTTAGTTTTACTAAGCTACCTTTTTCTCTCTTTCCTGTTTAATCTTTGTTAAAAAGAGTTGCTTCACCAGGTAGGGGAGGAAGAGGGATATATCTGGAAATGAATGTGATATAAATTTTTTTTAACTTTCAAATAATAAAAATTTTAAAAACAAACAAGGGAGCAAGCAACCTGATGTGCCTTTGGTGATGACTGTAAGGAAGCAGATCCAGGCAGAGCCTGTGAAACATGGTAAGAGGTACTGTGGGATAGGGGAAGGGGTTCAAGATTTGGGGTCGGAGGACCTGGATTCAAATTCTGACTCTGCCACTCATTGCCTGTTGTCACCTAAGGCAAGTGACTGCACTCTCAGGGCCTCAGAGTAAAATGAAGAGGTTAGACTGAATAACCTCTGAGGTCCCTTCCAGCGATCAGTCTGTGATGCCAAAGGAATTAAATGAGTTAGCTATTGAATAGGAAATCATGGGTCTGTACAAAGAACAAGAATCTGAAGTGAGAGGGCCGGGTTCAGATTCTGGCTCTGACATTGACTTTGAACAAGTCATTTTTCTTCCCTAGTTTCTTCATCTCTCAGGTTAGACTGGATGGTCTCAAAGGTCCCTTCGAGCTCTAAATCTTATGCCCAGGTTATCTATGACTACAATTGTCTTCTTTAGAATGTTTGGTTCCTCTTATGGCCAGTTTCCCACTCAGGAAAAGCCCTCCTCACCTCTAAACTCCAGCACTGAGGGCAAGACACTCCCCACCTCCAATACCTAGCCTTCCTATCTTCTCTCCTCTCCTCACCTCACTTCATCCCATCAAGACCGTTACCTCTCCTCCCATTCCCAACCCATCGGCCTGGTGTCACAGATGTTGCTCTAGAGAAGAAAACACACCCACATCCTCTTACACACACACACACACACACACACAAACACAAACACACACCTTATTTTCTGCTCTATGAGTATCATGGAGGCAATGCTCCTCCAGGAGTACCATCTGATGGCATGTGGGCCAAGCTTTTGGGCACTGCCCAGCATTGCCCATCCTACTCCCCACTCCTTCCCTATCTCTCATAAAACCACCAACAAAGAAACCCAGACACCTTAATGAGGCAGGAAGATTTTGTTTCTAATTCCAAGCCCCACCCCAGCATCACGCTATTCTCCTGTCCTCACCCCCAAACACCTTCCCTAAGCTATGGCTTGATTTCTTAAAAGCAGAAATAAGAAGGTCCCATGTCCTGTCTCCCCCTCTGTCTCTGCTCTGTTCTTTTATTAGCTGTTGTTGTTCAATCAGTCGACTCTGACTCTTGTGACCTAATTTGGGGTTTTCTTGGCAGAGATACTGGAGCGCTTTGCCATTTCCTTCTCCAGCTCATTTTACAGATGAGGAAACTGAGACAAACAGGGTGAAGTGACTTGCCCAGGGTCACACAGCTGGTAAGTGTCTGAGGCCAGATTTGAACTCAGGAAGATGAGTCCAAACCCAATGCTCTATCCACTGCACCACCTAGCTGCTCCTTTATTAGTGTTCCTCTGACCGTGTTGCCAGGGACCTTGGCACCTGGGAGAAAGTTCTCTCTCCAAGGCTCTAGCTCAAAAAGACTGACTATAGGATCACAGATTTATAGCTGGAAGGGACCTCGGAGATCACCTAGTCCAATCCCCTACCTCCATTTTACAGATTAGGAAACAAGCCTCAGAGTAGTTAAGTGACTTGCCCGAGGCCACTCAAGTGGTAAGTGACAGAAGTAGGATTTGAATCCAAGTCCTGTAACTCAAGAACCAGTGGTCTTTCCACTGCCTCTCAGACATCCCTTGGAGTTCCTAGGGTAAAGGCATTTCTGGACACAGGGTAGAAGCTGTATTGTTTAATGGAAAGAGCACTGGATTGAGGGTTATGGGACATGATTTTGAATTGTGGCTCTGCTATGTACTACCTGTATAATCTTGAGCAAATCATCTCGCCTCCCTGGCTGAAGATTCTTCATTAGTAAAATGGCAGCAGCCAGACTGGGGGAAGGTTGGAGGGAGAGGGGGAGTTAGAGGGTTTGAATGGATTACCTACAATCCTATGACCCAGTTCTACTGACAACAAGCAGCATAAAGTGAGTGAGTTCATAGGAGTGAATAAGTATAATATGGAGGAGGCCCCTGCCCTCAAGAGACCCATAATCTATTTGGAGGAAATTAAACACACACAGAAAGGATATATGAAAGGAATTAAAAGAATATATGAAGGGAATTAATGAGCAATATTCATTATCAAGTGCATAAAGTATTTTTGTC